GAGTTGCAGGCAAGGCCTACACAAGGTGTGACCAAGCCTGCAAGCCTTAGCATGTCCCATTGCAAGCAACCTCTTGCGAGCTATCTTGATGCGAAGCCGCCCACTACACCAAACTGCTAGAACAGCAATGCATCACTGAATGGAACCCTATGGGGGTAAGTCTTACTTGCGCGCTTTGGAGGATGGGCAGACATTCGAAACAGCCTTGCCAGGGGAATATGCTCCAGCTCCGGCAAAGCGTTGGTCATGCGTAAGGTCTGTCATGCGGGACCGTGCCCACCCGGAGGCCCGGAGGCACAGCAAGAGGACGTGATGCGCAGGCACCACACGGCTTGCTGGATCCCAGTGGCTCCATCCGGACACTCGTTGACCTACACCCAGTGCTTCCGAATCAGCAGGCTAGGGTGTCATAACGCTCAAGTCAGGCAACATGATGCTTCCCATGAAGCGATCTACGACTACTCGTGGCAGACAACTCAAACCCAATTTGCTCTGAGATAAGTTTCCGCCTTGAGAACTGCTTCGCATTCAAATCGACAGGCTCCACAAAGCTAATGCATCGAACTCGTGCAGCCGGAATTACAAAGGCCTGGGCACCCTCAAAGGGTGTAAGTGCATCAGCAAGCCAGCGCACGATTTCTGCCGCCCGCGGCAGCAGTCCCAAGATGGAGCTTGCCACAACGTTCTGGGCACAGCTAAGCTGGTTGGGTCCAACAGCTCCATGCTTGGCTCAAGTCCAGGCAACATAATGCTTCCCGTGAAGCGATCTGTTGCTGCTCCTGGCAAACAACACAAACCCAAGTCGCTTTGACACGAGTCTCAACCTTGATAGCTGCTTGACCGGTCGACACGCTCCACTAAGCTGATGTATCAAACTCGCGCAGCCAGATTTACAAAGATTTGGGAAGACTCAAAGGGTGTAAGTGCATGCCCGGGCCAGCAGTGCTGTCTCAGCCAAGCACTGCCGCAGTCCCAAGGTCAAGCTTGCTGCGAAGTTCTTGGTAGAGCCACGCTGGTTGTGTCCACGGGCTCCATGCTGTGCTCAAGTCAATGCAACGCGATGCTCCTCCGCCTGCAAGCAACGTCTTGCTAGCTATCTTGATGCAAGGCCAGCCACTAAAGCAAATACTAGACCAACACTGCGTGGGAAGCTGTCGTTGTGAGCGCATGCGCAGGCCAGCAGTCCCGTTTCTGCCGCAGCTTGCAATGAACTTCTGGGCACAGCCATACTGGTTGTGTCCAACACCTCCCTGCTTTGCTCAAGCGATCTGTTTCTACTCCTGGCAAACAAAACAAACCCGACTCGCTCTGAGATGAGTCTCAACCTTGATAGCTGCTTGGCCGCTCGACGCGCTCCGCAAAGCTGATGCATCAAACTCGAGCGGCAGGAATTACAAAGGTCTGGTAACGCTCTCAAGCTGAAGCTGGCCACAAAGTTCTGGCCACAGCTAAACTGGTTATGTCTAACAGCTCCAGGCTTTGCAGTCCCGGCAATGTGATTCCCTTTGTCATGCCATCTAACAATCCTCCTGCAATCCTGAACGTGGAGGGGCAGTGGGCTTGAGACATTACTGCAATTCTTGGCTGATTGTCCTTGCTTTGGTAGGCGGCCCGAAGCAGATCAAAGTCGGCTGTCAAGATTTGTCCCTTACAGCCTGTTGAAGTCTGGCAAAGTAAGGCAACGTTTGTCAAAGTCAGCCCAGGAACAGTTCAAGACGCAGAAGCTTTCGCTACGCAACTGGTAAGTTTTTTTGCAAATCACTCAAATGATTTTCACATAGCCTTCCTCGGCTCTGCCTTGGGTAAAAAGGCGGCAACTGCAAAGGCAACATGCGGAAACACCATGCAACACGAAGACAAGACCCCGCAAAGTCGCTGAGAGTCACTCAAATGCATTGCAATGTTGGTGTCCAATTTCCTTGCAGGGCAGCCACTGTTGGCTGCAGTAACGGAGTCCGTTTTTCAGTTTTAGCGCACAACTACTCAAATCCCAGCAAACGTCTCTGGTTGGTTTACCTCTTGGGAAGAAAAGCGAGATGCGCAAACACTCACACAGCTTGAGCCAACGAAAAACCCAATGCAGGTAATGAAACAGGCCCTTGGGAGGTGAGGCTCAAATTTGATGATCCCAGGAGAAACGGGTGGAGACCTCCTTCCAAGCAAGCACATGAAATATCCCAGTCCAAGCAATCTGTTGCGCATTACCTTGATGCGAATCCAAGGCTGTGTCATTCAACTAAATTTCAAAGCGTGCCCAACCCAAACCATGAGGGCTGGGAAGTTGCGGCACTGCCGCTGGCTTGAGGCAAGGGGTCCAACTGGAATCTTGCAAGCACGCGCGAGGGCCATGAGCACTGTTGCTGCCGGAGCAGCAGTCCGAAGCTCGTCAAGTTTGCCGCGAAGTTCTCGGAACAGCCAAGCTGGTTGGGTTCAGTGCTTTGCTCAAACCAAGGAAGGCAACGTGATGCTCCGCATGCCATCTGACACTCCTCCAGGAAAAGGAGCCAAACAGGAGCACAGCAACCAACAAAGCGAAAGTAAAGCTGAAACTTGCCAACGCAGTGTTTGCCTATGCGTGTGTGCGTGTGCCAAGCCACTGCCCAAGTCTGCATGCCTCTCACGCGAGATGCTACCGGAGGTGCCTTGGGAACTCGTTATCCTGTCAAACTCAGCGGCATGTGTTGAGAATCTCTCTTTTGGCAGGACGGAAGGCCTAACTTGGGATAGTCACAAAGCGCTAGCAGCTTGACTCCTGGTTCTGCCATTGCACCAGGTGCACAGGTGACACACCCACATGTTTGCAGCCCAATTGCCGGGTAAGCATGTGTTGAACCATCAGGGACGTGCTTACGACAAGGAAAATGTCTGGCTTCACTTTGCCATGCTGAGACCCAATACTCTCCAAGTCACGGCGCAGCATGTCCGAAAGGCAAAGACCAATGGGCCTATACTGGCACAACAGCCCGAGCCAAACCAGAAGCGCAAACAAGACATCCTAGAACTTTGCAAATAGGGGCCGGGGGCTGGCAGGGGGAGCAAAAGTTAAAGGCGATCCAAATCCTGGACTACCTATTGGGTCCCAGTGATGCTGGGCCGAGTCTGGGGAGTTGTTTGGGGGAGTTCTTTGCAAGAGAGATACATTGATGTTGAAATTACAGATGTTCACTACCCTGAATGTGGTTCCAAGTTTCTTTCTCTTGGGGGGGGGGGGAAAACTATTGTTCTGTGTCTTTTTGTTCCCCCCCCATCCCCGAGACCCTTTCTGTTAAAACGGTGTCAAGCCTAGACACCCACAAGCACGTTCAAAGGTCCAGAAGGTCACATGATGGACCAATGGAAGCCCCCGTTCAGAAACAAAGGCAACTACAAACATGTTGTGGCAAAAACACATGAACAAGACATAGTGCAAACAACAGAAGCCTCCACTGCGTGACCTTCTCTTATTTTTATTTGTTTATTTGTTTGATTGATTGATTGATTGATTGATTGATTGATTGATTGATTGATTGATTGATTGATTGATTGATTGATTGATTGATTGATTGATTGATTGATTGATTGATTGATTGATTGATTGATTGATTGATTGATTGATTGATTGATTGATTGATTGATTGATTGATTGATTGATTGATTGATTGATTGATTGATTGATTGATTGATTGATTGATTGATTGATTGATTGATTGATTGATTGATTGATTGATTGATTGATTGATTGATTGATTGATTGATTGATTGATTGATTGATTGATTGATTGATTGATTGATTGATTGATTGATTGATTGATTGATTGATTGATTGATTGATTGATTGATTGATTGATTGATTGATTGATTGATTGATTGATTGATTGATTGATTGATTGATTGATTGATTGATTGATTGATTGATTGATTGATTGATTGATTGATTGATTGATTGATTGAATGATTGATTGGTTGGTTGATTGATTTTTTGATTTATTGATTTATTGATTGATTGATTGATTGATTGATTGATTGATTGATTGATTGATTGATTGATTGATTATTGATCGATTGGTCGATTGGTCGATTGGTTGATTGATTGGTTGGTTGATTGATTGATTGATTGATTGATCGATTGATCGATTGATCGATTGGTTGATTGATTGGTTGGTTGATTGGTTGATTGATTGAGCTTAATTGATTGCGTGGTTGCTTGGTTGCTTGGTTGCTCGCTTGGTTGGTTGACTGACTGACTGACTGACTGACTGATTGATTGATTGATTGAGTGATTGACTGACTGACTGACTGATTGTTTGATTGATTGATTGATTGATCGATGGATAGATCGATTGCTTGATTGATTGCTTGGTTGGTTGATGTTGATTGACAACTTGCCCCTTTCAGCATCACCCAAGTTGGCCTTTCTGAAGGCTGATATTATCATATCTAAAACCACCTTGCTTGGGCCCTTGGGCCCGATTCAGGGAGCCCAACAAATCCATGTCTGGGTCGCACTGCCTCGCTTGAAGCGACGCGGGTCTGCGTTGATGAGCAAGGCCGTGAAATTTCATCCGTGCCAAAATTCAGAAATCCCAAAGCCACCCCTCAAACCAGGTTCGAAAGGCACCTAGGCTTCCTAGGTCTGATCAAAGTCGTTGAACACCTTTCTGCGGAACAGAGAGGATTATTTGAAAAGGAAACAAAACAAAGACCAAACCATATTGGGGCTTTCCAGCTTCCATTTTGGGAAGCAAGCTAGTCATTGACGCACACATGGGGCGTGTTCAGTGGCGTTCCGATTGACAAACACCGGCAAAAACGATAGATTCCACTCGCGCAGCTTGCACACGCTCTTTTCTACTGGATGCATAGCCAGCGCACCGCTGGTGAGCAGCCAGTGCTACGCCTGGCAACTGGTTGAAATGCGCAGTGTGAAAAACGCTGAAAAAAACAGTCCCTGTTCAGCATCTCAAATGGCACAAAGCCAAGATGAAAAATCAAAAGGCCACGGACCCCGGGCGACACAGCGCCTAGAAGAGCGCGCTCGTGGCCTTGGTTGAATACCAATCGGGAACTTGACATTCGGCGCAAACTTGGCTATAAAATTCTTCAAACCCCTCAACAGTGGCTGGTAGACACAATTCCACATGTCAGTTGTGGCCATGAGTCTCTCAAAAGGATTCACACCAAAAATGGGGTTCGAAAAGACAGCGAAGGAAGGAAACTGAAAGAACATAAATTTGCCTTTTCCCGCTGTTCATGGTGTTTCCCCACATATTGCGCTTGCGTGGTTGCGCTTGAGTGCGCCTTGTGGTTGCGGGGCAACTAGGAGTTGCCAGAAAAAGCGACGCAGTCTCAAGTCTCAAGCCAAACAACAGAAACCGTACCTCCAGGAAAGGTATGGGCGTATGAATTGTTGTAAGACACTGAAAGTGGTATTCGTCGGGCCAAACGAGAACAATGAGAGGGGTTCTACCCCAGAGACGCTGAACCATTGGCCTCAAGGCCGTGTCCACGTGTGAAGGCATCGTGAAAAAAACATGAAGGCCGCTAAAGGGGAATGGCTGATCGTACAGGATTTCCGCACACTGGTTTGCAAGTGAGGCTGTGGCTGCTAATAAATTGGCCACTTTCACTCATGAAGGACAAGTCTTGCCTCTGTTGCTACTGTGTTCGCCCTGGCCAACCTGGAAACCCCAGCAATGAAAACCGCAGCTGGGATGCCAAACGGCAAGCTAGCAATGGAGGTCCAAACAATCCCAACTGGGTGCTGGGCGGCGCTGGCCTGCAGGAGCTTGGCTGGCAAGAAGTGAAAGGGATAGGTGCGCACCTGGCGAAGGCGACGCCTTGGGCCCAAAAGGAACGTGTGAAAGCAAACGACATTGTTTGGGGGTTGGCCTAAAGCGACGCCAGGAGGAAACCACCAATTGGTCTCCCCGATGTTCAGTCATCCGTCGGACACTGCAGCAAAAGAACCACCACCAAAATGGACGATTCCCTTCGGTTTGGTCTGTCTGGGTTGCTCAAAATGGAGGGATCCCTAATCCTAATCCGTAATCCGTAGTGGGAAACTACAATAAGGACAACCACCATCTAGCATATATAAGGGTTAATGGCATAAGGATTGAGGATTGATTTTGAGCAACCAAGTCGCAAATTCGATATGGACGCCCCAGCACGCGGACGATGTCCTTTGGTTTCACTGTGAGACATGCCCGAAGCGGGCACCAAAACCATAAAAAGGAGCCACACCCGAAACGGGCGTCCTCGGCAAGAATGTGTGATTGCGCAGTGGGCTTCGGAGCGCATGGTGCGCACGGTGAGAATCAGCTTTTTGACTTCTGCCCGCGAAAGTCGTTGCCTAACACCGCACGAAAGTTGCAAAACATGCCAGGCCGCAAAGTCCAAAATGGAAAGTCGAGAAACATCAAAAAGTCGCCAAAAGTGAAAAGTTGCAAAAAGTCGGAAAAACCCGAAAGTCGAGATTTCCTGAAAAGCAAAGCTGGCGAAAGGTTAAAAAGTTGCGAAAGGTGAAACCGGAAACAACGTAGCCTGATGATTTTGAGAAGAAAACCAGCGGCGCGCCGTACATTGCTGTTTCTTTCATGGTCCTTCAGCTCAGGTGAGTCGCCCTGTCCTCGTATTGAGAAGGAAGGGATGTGTGACATAAGAATGTTGCAATTCAAGTCCTTCTCTATCCCAGCTGCTTGTGAAAGGTAGAGAGGGATATTAAGAAATAAACAGTGTAAGCAAACTAGCAGCTACATGATATATTCAGAGAATTTACCTTCTAACCTTCATTCCTATCTTATCTTGTTACCTATTTTTGGATGGGTAATAATCAGTTTAGAAGGCTTTTATGGACATAAGCGTAATGAATTTCAGCGTTGGATTGTTTGAGCAAGAGGTTCTTACATATGTGGCATTACGTACCATTGCAAAATACACTCTCTTACTAAACCTCCACTTTACATTCACATATTACGGTTTCTAACTGATGTGTATCTCTCACCAACATGGTGTACTTATCCTTTTTAGTCGGCTCCTGTTCTGTTATGTGTTACTTTGGTCGAATTCCAACTGCCGGTGATTGAGAAGGCAGATACAACGTGATGTGTTTCCCGTACTTTCACTTTTGTCCCTCAACGTCTCTGGCTATTGACGCCTCATCAGTAAAGACGACAGTTAAATTAGTATGCAAGTGCCATTTTTTGTCCTGACCTATTTCCCAAAATCGCTACGAGTTCGGTCGCTTATCATTTTGAGGTTGGATGGGATAGGGCATGGAGACAAGGCACGTAGCTGGATATGATTGGGTGGAGCCCTAGAGTTGCGGAAAAAGCATCCTCCTTGTCCCCAACGGGTTAGAGGTCAGACGGAGGCTGGAGCTTAAGGATCGGCAGGAGTGCCTGTTTTTACATCTCTGACACGCGGAGGAAAGGCAGCCAACATGCCCCGAGGGGAAGCAAACTAAGAAGTCGATCCCAAGAACATTGAATGAAGGCAAATCGCATAGTTGTGAAGTCCAAAAGCCAAAAAACAAAAAACGACCGACCAACGCTCTCAAAATGTCGGGAAAAAGCAAAACACAGAAAACTGGACTCAAAGATTAGAAGCATTGCGAACACCTAGCAGGTCGAAAAGCAAAACAGCGAACAGTTGAGAGAAGCAAGACAAGCCAAAAAGTCGAAATGCCACCAAAAAAAACAAGTCGAAAAGTTACAAGACCCGTCAAAAAGCCAACAAGTTGAGCAAACAACTCGCAAAGTAAGCAAGTCGAAAAGTTGCAAAGTCAAAAAGTCGTGCGAGTCGCAGAAAGTCGAAAAGTCACGATAAGTTGAAACTAAAAACAAAAAGTTGAAAAATAAACTTCACCACTCAAAGTCGAAAAATTGAGAAGCCGAAAAGTCAAAAGTCGGAAAAGTCCAAAAGTCAAGATCAAAAAGCGCTCAAATGACTTTGATACTTGACTAACATTGCGAGGAACAAGACTGTGTGACAAAAGACAAGTCGAGAAGTTGTTGAAAACTCGAATTGTCAAAAACACAATGACGTGTTGATTGTTTGACATGTTGCAGAACGCACGGTAAAAGAACCGGAAGTTGCTGAGGGTCATCAAGCTTAAACAATGCGCTAATCGCAGCATCGGTTGCAAGGGACATTCGGCGGCAACTTGGACCCACAAGCCTTGTGGCTACAGTTGACATGCCATGCTTGCGCCAGAAGATCTGGGAAAAGACATGGACCAGCTTTCTACTTACGATGTGTCAGCAAGAGCTTGCCAGCCACTGGCTTGAATCATGCTTTAATCATGTTTGATTTTCCCCCTTGCTTCTGGAGTGGGGTGCTGTGGGGCGGTGGGAGGGGGGCCCTTGTTCCATTTAGAATTCAGATCTTGTCACCCACAGCTGGGAACGGCAACTATGGGTCTCTCCCACTCTCCTAATTCTATTTCTGACGGTGAACGCATGAACTGAAGTCACAATCCCCCCGTCGCCGGCCTCGCCCCGGCCGTCGTCAAACTGCCAGTAGACCGCAAGAAGCGAACCTGCGAGCACACATGCCACGAAATCAGGGTCCTCCTCCGTCAAGAAACCATCTGAGTCCAAAGGGAAAGGAATGCGAAAAGGAGGAAGGTGCCAACAAAAAGGAAACAGAACCCCCCCCCCCAACATCATTTCGGTGTTCAAAAAAGGAACGAAAAGGATGCCAACAATTCGCACACCTTCTCGACTGAGGGTTGGGGACCAATATGGGCCCCCTTGCTGAAAGATTCCACCTGACACCAAGATAGGAATACATTCAAGCAAGCAACTGTCAGCCCTTTCTTCTTCGTTCAGGCGCCCCGGCCAAGCAACATACCACTCTATGTGCTACTTGGTACCCTCCTACCACATCCGCCAGGCCCTCGGGCCGCAGGTGGACACTAGGTTTGATCGGGAAATGACCCCCCAGAATCCCCCCACCCGGATCTGCGTGACCGGCGGATGCGCCAAATCCAGAGGGAAGTAGGTTGAAGCGGGTGGATTTGGGAGGTTGCTTGATGCGCCGAAGGTCTATATTTTCCAGAGCCATATGTATTTGGTCTTGATTTTGTGCGGAGTTGTTTTTCTGCTTTTTGGTTGCTCCATTTCAGGTTTGGGTCTTGGCTGCTGCAGAGCCGCTCGCGGATTCAAATCTTGGCCCGGCCCGAATCCTGGCGGTGGCGCGTTACTTGCAACATCTTCCGTTAAGGGGGTCCAAAAAAACGGACCCGCCAAGGGAAACCGTTTGTTCCATGACTGTTTGCCTTGCGCTTACTTCCCCTGGATTTTGACCCCCCATGGGTTGGCTTTGTGTTGGGACCAGTGTCTTTGGTTTTGCTTTGTTTACACCTACCAAAACCGGGTACCCTTTGAAACACCTGCATCTACTTTCAAAAACCGGGTACCAGTGGAAGAAAAACGTGCTTTTCGGAATCGTTGTGCCTTGTTTTGCCTGGTTTACACCCACGAAACAGGGCTACCCCCTTCAAGAAAACCACCACCACCCCACGTTTCCGACTCGCATAACACGCGAACCCCCCCCCCCCCCCGACCCCCCACCCGCCCGCTCGGCCTTCCGTGGCGCTGCCCTCGTCCAGGCGCGGGCGGTGCGCCGCGAAGCTCAGCGCCAGGGGCGTGGCGCCGGGCGCCGCCAGGCGCCCGCAGGGTGTCAGCCTACGCGTGCTGAGAGGAGCCAACAGCATGGTGAACCAAACTGCAGTTTCTTTCATGTTTTGTGTGTCTTTAAAATGAGCTTCTTCGAGGTTAATTTTCTTCTGACTTTTGATGTTGCAGAATTCGGTTGCTTTGCAACTTTACGGGAGTTTCATTATAGATGGGTTGTCTTTACAGTGGGTAAATCATGATTAGATGCTTGTTGACTGCCGTAATGTCATAGTTACTGCACAAATAACAGCTCGGATCCAAAGTCCATACCCGTTGCTGAGTTATGTCGTTTAACAAAACGAGTTTTCGATGTTGTTTCTTCCACTTTGGGCCGAAAGAAAAAACGCACAGGTGATGTTTGAAGGGGAAACCAAAAGGACATCAACTCTTTTTGGGGGCCCTATTTTTGAGACAAACCCAGCGGAGGAAAGGGCAGGCAAGGCTGGAAGCCTTGCATCTTGCAATTGGTTTGCACTGCAGGATTTACTTCCTCGAGATATGAATTTGGGAAGCAAAGCCGAGCATGTACCAATGAAGATGGATGCCCGTCAATTGCAACAGCGAACCCCAGGTTGATGCCAAGAAAATGCAAGGGCCAAGATTTGGAACCAAAATTCTGGGATTGGTGTCCTAGGAGGCTCCACTGGTGATTGGTGTAGGTGCTTAACTTGCTTGGTGAGTGCTCGGGACTCCTTTCTTGGATGGACCTTTCAGCCAGTCCGTTGGTTTGAGGAATTTAACGAACCCAATCCATCGCTTCCATAGATCAGGATACGAGGTCCCGGCTCACGGTGGGACCAGCCCGCCAGCCCGCAAGTCGCGCGCTCAAAGATGAGCACCTGAGCTCATTGAGACAAATGCCATTGGATCCCACGTTCCAAAGAAAGCCTTCAGCCCATTTAAGCGATGCCTTCGTTCCAAGAAAGGGTTTCCTTTCAACCAACCCTTTAAAACAACCCCAACCACATATACACACACACACACCACACACCACACACCACACACCACACACCACACACCACACACCCCAGACCACACACCACACACCGCACACACCACACACCACACACCACTCACCACTCACCAAACACCACACACCACACACCACACACCACACAGCACACACCACACACACAGCACACAGCACACACCACCCAGCACCCAGCACCCAGCACCCAGCACCCAGCACACAGCACACAGCACACACCACACAGCACACACACACAAACAGCACACACACACACAAACAGCACACACACACAAACAGCACATACACACACAGGCACACACACAGGCGCACACACACACAGGCACACACACACACAGGCACACACACACACAGGCACAGGCACAGGCACAGGCACAGACACAGACACAGACACAAGACACAGACGCACACACACACACACACACAGACGCACACACACAGACGGACACACACACACACACACACAACACACACACACACACACACACACACACGCCCGCCCGCCCGCCCGCCCGCCCGCCCGCCCGCCCGCCCGTACGCACGCACGCACGCACGCACGCACGCACGCACGCACGCGCACACCTGCATTCGCACGCACGCCGGCCCCGTCCGCCCGCACACGAACGCGCACGCGCATGCGCACGCGCACGCGCACACTCACACCCACACCCACAGCCGCACCCGCACCCCCCCCCCACCCACCCACCCACCCACCCCACCCACCCACCCACCCACCCACACACACACACACACGCACACACACAGACACACACACACACACACACCTGCCCGTACGCACGCATGCACGCACCCGCACACCTGCATTCGCACGCACGCCGGCCCCGTCCGCCCGCACACGAACGCGCACGCGCATGCGCACGCGCACGCGCATACGCACACCCACACCCACACCCGCACCCGCACCCCCCCCCCACCCACCCACCCACCCACCCACCCCACCCACCCACCCACCCCACCCACCCACCCACCCACCCCACCCACCCACCCACCCCACCCACCCACCCACCCACCCACCCACCCACCCACCCACCCACCCACCCACCCACCCACACACACACACACACACACACCACACACCACACACCCACACACCACACACCCACACACCCACACTCACACACTCACACACTCACAAACTCACACTCACTCACACTCACTCACACACACATATATATATATATATAATATATATATACATATATATATATATATATATTTGGAGCTGTCTTTTGTCGAGGTTACCTGTTGTGTGGTGGGTTTCAGGGGAAACCAAAAAGAAACCACCCTTTGGAGGGTTCCCTCAAAAGAGAACCCCAGCTCTGTCCCTCCAACTCCTGCAAGGCGTCCCGGCATCCCGATGATTGTCCTGGCGCACCGCCACCCGCTGGGCCGTGCGAGGACACACCGCCACCTCCTGCACCGCGCCCTCCTGCGAATCCGTCGATTTCACCCTGGGCGAAAGCAACCGTGCCAGAAACATCGAAATTTGGCCAAAGGAAGCAAAAAGAGTCAACAGCAATTTTATCCAGAGGGGTCCTTTCTAGTCCCTGCACATTGACAAGGAACCTTTTATGGAAGGGCATCCTGCACACACACACACACACACGGGGGAAATTGCGAATCCCTGAGGAAGGAATTTCCAAGGAGCCTTCATATGAAAGGTTGCAAACCACTCTTGTGAAGTCCCCTAAAGTTGCCCAAATCCACCAGCGCCCTGAAACTGGGGGTGTCCCAACAATTGGGAGGCGACCACAATGAAAGGTCTTGAGGTGTCCTTCTGAACATCCTGCAAAGGGAGCTTCAAATTCAAGGAAACGAACAAACACCTGCCAGGAAACTGCTTTCGGCATGGATGGAATCGCGAAATCTGCCTCGAGGATGAACAAACAACATGTCTTTCTTGGATGGCTGTGGGGCAATGCTGAGGCCCTACCCCCATTTCTCAGTTCAGCTTTGCCATTATCCTCGTCAACCAGTCCATGCAATCTCCCGCCCATAAGCCCAGGCATCCCAGCCGTCTCAAGCCACTGGCAAATTCTTTGTATCTGTTCCCCCCCTCTCGGACCTAGTTGTTGACCCCTGCGAACTGGGTTTGATGTTGGCCTCTCTTCAAAATCACCCCAAAACACGTCTTGTTTTCCCAGCTTAGCTCGCTCTAAAGGGGCCACTGGCTACAGGGCTCCCTGCTAGATTCCCCTTCAACATCACCCCACCTACAAAAAGGCAACTCCCATTTTTCTTGGCCCAAGAGGTGATGCCTCACAACACCAAACGCGCATGTTCTGTTGCAGAAACCGGCAAGGTCATCCGTTTCTCATGAGAGCCATGGTCAACATCATGGGAAATTGAGTGAAGCGTGTCCCTTGCAATGGACAATGGACGATTGGCAATTTTGACAGAGCGTGTGCTTTTGACACCTTTGGCCCAAAGCCCCATCCTGTGGCAGCGGGAGCGCCCGCACCACTGGCTCCGCGCCAGACAGCCAGGCAAACAGCCCGGAATCCTGCAGGAGATGTTGTTTTTCCTACAATGGCTCTGCCTGGTTCGATACCTTCCTTTGGGGATGGATTTTGCAAAAACGAAAGGGAAGCCAGCCAACTTGGCGAGTTTCCATTTTCTTGACGAACTGCGATAATGCACCAACCGGACCAAGCCAATCACTGCGCCATTCAAAAGAGGGTCTCCGAGTTTTGGGATGCCCGCATATGTTTGGGCCTCTGTTTGCATCTTCCCTGAACTGGTGATTTGGATTCATGGGTTGGCGAGGGGAGGTGGGTCCCAAGTTCTCATGACAAGGGGCCGAATCGCCAAACCACCAGTTAAGACTCTTGCCAGATTTGGGTGGGAAAAGTCGAAGGCAAACCAGCAGTTGCCCAAAGAAACTGCATGGCTTCCAACACAAAGGCAATCCAAATCGGGAAATCCGACGAAAGCCGCCCTGGTCCGAACAAGGAAACTCTCGGCTGTTCGGGGAGATTCGCGGACCGTCGCTGGGAACTGGGAGCTAAACAGCTGGCATGCAGCTGATAAATGACAATTACAATCAAATTGCAGTTTGAACATCCGGGTGGATGCGTGACTAGTGACCAGTCGGCTGATACCCATCTCGCAGTTGGCCAACCCAAAGTTGCGATTCAGCAGCTCTGCACGTATCAAGTAAACCCACATCATGCACCAGTTGCTTGTTTACATTTGTGCCAAGAAGTGATTCGCTTTGAAACAGGCCCTCTTCTTTGACCAAACTTAGACCCCCTGCAAAAAGCTCACTGTTTGCCGTGTGAACAAAACCGGTCATGCGTCTCGCCCACGAGGGGCTCGCATTTCCCAGAGACTCTGCCCGCTTTTCTCCTGGCCCAGGTGGGCGTTGGTCGCGTTCACCGCGCCGGGGCTGCCTGAGAACGTGCACGACAGAAACACCCGAACCGGCGAAATAAATGGGAAGCCAAGAGTTCTCGAACCCATGCTTGACTAATAAGGGGCATCCCGTTGAAAAGGGAATCCTTCACTTTTGGGGAACCTGGCTTATGAATCCATCAGGTTGATTAATGCAGCGTCGAAGTTACGTGATTGCACGGGCTCGTGGTTGATTGTGGTCTACTCACAGTGTCACTGTATGTTTGGAGGTGGTACTGATCACATGAAGATGATTGTCGCACTGCCTGCTGTCACAGAGTTCAAGAAGGGTCTCAAGTACACCTCTCCACATGTAGTACCAGTTCTGCTTCCAGCCAGAAATCCTTTGTGTCAGGTAGATTTGACCGATGCTCAAGAAGCAACGTACCCGTTTTGGGCTGGTCCCAGCCCAAACCTCCTGGCGGGCTTTGCCATCCCTTGTTTGGATGTCTAGGGGGTTGTGAATTGTTGGCACGTTGTGCCCCTCAGGGCAAATGATCCAGCCAGTTGTTCCTTCTGCGATCAGGACCGGAGCTTGGGCCAATTTTTGAATGAGACTCACTCTTTGCGGGAGAGTGCGTGCATCTTCGGAATCAATCACTCATCAACGGGTCCCTTGTTAGAACCGCCGCTGAAATTGCAGAAGTCAAACATTCAAGGGTAAAACCAGGGGCTGGTTCTCTCATTCTCAACAGGGCAACTGACACGAAGACCTTGGTGCCACACTGCGACACAGATATTTGTGAAATTGGGAAGCCTTTGGTGGGCATTGGGCATTTATGTTATGGATGTTGACACGAACCCTATTTGGGGCCTTTACGGCTCATGGGCTCCCTCGGATTCACGCGGAACTTTGCGACGGCAAGCCGCCTACGCCGATCTGCACGAGGTGGCCGCCGGTGGCCAGAAGGGTGTCGCCGTCCAGCCAGGACAGCGAGAAGCCTCGAAAGCTCCACTCCTTTTGCTTGAGGGATGGGTTCGGTTTGTCCTAGGGCCCACATGAGTTCAGTCACATGATTTTGGAATGAGTTTAGCCAAAGGTTCCAGTCCTTTTCCTGGGTCATCTGGAGGACGCCGTGCAGAAGTGCTACGTGGGGAAAAAAGGCTCGAGTGTGGGGGTACCTTCAGGCCTGCAACCTGAGAGTGGGAAGTGGGAAGTGGGAAGAGGCAGGGGATCGCCACTGGCCCGTGTAAGAGGGCCGGGCAGTGGTCGGACTCAGGGGTGAAGGCATTAAGCGCAGCAGCTTTGGACAGACTTTTGAAAAAAAGGCCTTACCCAAGTGGTTGATTTCTATGACCCTTGGCATCGCAAGAAACTGGCGCTGCAACCCAATTTCCACAACCGCGGTGTCAGACAAAAAAAGAAAGAGGAAACCCGTTGCCATACACAAAAAAGAAAGACGACCAGTGACACGTGGAGAAAATGGCACAAGTAGGGGGCAAGCTCTATACCATGTGTTTGAATTACGGACAAGTTCGAACAACTTAGTATAGAACCATGCCATGGTTCTATACTAAGTTGTTCTTGCTTCGTCTCCCGCGTTCAATAACATAAATCAGATATCTGTGTCCTGGGTCTAGCTATGCGGGTAAATCACAGCAACTTAAGAGAAACCAATAGATCAACGCAAAACAAGTGTGCCGAATGAGACGTGCCCTCCATGGCACTTGCCTTGCATTGGATATTCCTTTGCCGTCCTGACAGTCCCCCATGTCCCAGCTGTGTCGCAAATACCCTGCAACGCACTCCTGCAGTCTCCTGTAGATGTGGGAATTCTTACGTCTTACAGGGCCAGCCCGTTCTGGAAAGCAAGCTAAGGCCTTTCGACTGGTCCCGCCCAAAAGAGTATGTGTTGAGCCTTCCTTCGATCAGGCCTGTTTTTCTCAACCCCAAATCTCTTGTCTGCGCTCCATTTCATCTTTTGGGTTCGGCCCAAAAAACCGATCGCTGTCGAAAAAACCACCCAATGGGTTCCCTCTTCTTTAAAGCCATTAAGGCGACCAAGGCTTCGCAGGCTCGGCCTGGCAGGCCCGCAGGAATCCAGCCCAGGCTCACGTGAGCAGCAACCTGCGAGCCACTGCTTGTCAAATCGAAGGGACTGTTGTCGTGTGGGTGCTTCGCAACATGGCCGTACTGGATTGACGAAAGCCATTTCGCACTGGGTGGGATGGATGGAACCAAGTGAAAACACTGCAGCACCAAGTAACCAACGGTGTGTATTGTGGATTTTGTCCACAGCCCAACAAAATCTCGAGGGATCCAACCAACCTGGAGGCATCCAGCCACAAACAGTATTCAAACCCTAAGTGATGCGGGAAATTGGTTTGCACCACCCATGTCCTAATGGTAATTTGGTGAAAGTGGCCCACGTCCCCTTGCCCACAAATGCCGGTAAATACATGCCGCTGCTCATGTATTTTCCCATGGCTTGGTGCAGGAAGCCTCTCTTTCCCCTGGGTGCCAAACCATGCTTCCGTTGCTTTCTTTTTTGAGGATGGGTGCAGCCCCGTCCAAACCAAATGGTCACCCTATTTGGGATGTTTGGGAAGCCAAAGTCCAACCCAAGATTCCTTTCGGGGGTCCAAATCCCTTTGACACTCTGCGACCCGCCTCCCAGGTCCGCGTCTTCCAGAGCCGCACCATGGGCTCGCTGTGCAGGGCCTGAGGCTGGCCGGAAATCACCGGGTTTTGGAGGCTGGTTCGAACTGTTTGGCCTGTGGGTTAGGGCTCCTGCAAGTTCAAACGGTTTTGGCTTCGGGCAACGGCCCAAACTTACGCAAGGAACCCGCAAGCGGAAGGAACACCCTGGAAGGCCCTGTTTGAGGAGGAACGCATATCAAGCTAGGAATCACTGTCAGGACTCATGTTGGTGGGGCGGAAGCCCTCACGCTCAATACAATGACGGAATCAAAGAGGCGACGCGGTTTGGTCTGCCTGGAGCTGATCCCAAGGAACAGCCTCCCCCCACCAAAAGTCGAAGAGCCAGGGCATCGTTTAGACACACCTGCAATAGCAGGATTGCAATGACCCCGAAAGATATCCAGCTATGTGAGGCACCTAGGAGTGGCACCGAATCGATGATGACAACCAACCCAAACCAGCGCCGTCCATGATTGGAAAACTGACCCCAAGGGACACCTATTTGGGGTGCTCCAAAGACCCCAACAAAGGGGAGACAGTAGGCCTGTGAAAATAACCTCACCAATCACCAAACGGAGACTCCAGTAAAAATGGCAGGTGATGTTTCAACCTCCCAAAAGGTAAGTATAAGGGTATGTGTCAAAAGAGAGATGTTGACCCCCCCGCCCCAGCAGGCACAAAAAACACACACACCATAAGGACCCTGACCGAAGGACACCAGCTTGGTGGCCCGGCCGCCAGCAGCGTGCTCTCAGGCGACCAGGCGAGGCGAAGCACGCCTGGACGTGCGAAGTGTGAGTGGTATTGAAATGCTTAGACCGGTGTTATCCATGGTTGAAGGGGTCTCCCGATTAAAAAAACATGTCGTAGGTCTGCATATGCATGCACTGCATGAACAGGCAGAAGTGAACACGTGCATATATGTGAACGGATAAAAGGCGTAGGGTCAGTGGGACAACAAGTTTGGCTGACGCACGACCCCTACTTGTTAAGAAGGTAGAGATTCAAGATTCTGTTTCAGAGCCGAAGGTCGCAAGGAACGGATGTCTCCAACAGCAACTCAGTATCCTGTCAAAGCTATTATGTACCGATTTCATGAACGCCAATGCTGCCAATTGCGGGTTGTTCAAAATAAAAGTTCCTGGAAACGGCCCTTTCGCCGGCCTTTCGCGGCCCTTTCGCGGCCCCATGTTTTCCTTTCGCGGTGACAAACCAGTCCTGAAAAACTTGTTTCCGAGCCCAAACGAGGGTTCTACCATGTATTCGTTATGTTTCAAGTCCTTTCGCCGGCCTTTCGCGATGCAGTGTTTTCCTTTCGCGCTAGACCTTCAGAACCTCCCTTTACTTGATTTTAAGACTGGCAATTTAGAACGACTCCCAATTGATGGCTTGTCATTGTCCGTCAAACCACGGGATTGTGAGCCTTTAAGCTGGTCCGAGCATGGCTGACTTGGTGACATGCACAAGCTTTGCTCTTCTTCATAGCTACTCATAGGCTTTTCACTAAGCCAAAACATTGACCTGCGTCACTTCTGACTAAGGTTGAACATCCCAGCCTTCGGCTTCTCATGCCTCGCTGAAGGAGCCAAGACACACACGTAAGTCAAAAGAGTGGCTCTCAAGCCACCTTGCCTTTCCTGGAGTGTTTGTCTCAACTGGAAACCCGTGTTTGGTCACTTTGGCTGAGTCTGAACACGAGATTCAACAGAAACCCACCATTATGCGAGTCAATGATTCACGGACTCTGGGTGAGGCTTCCAAGCCCTGTGGAGTACGAGCCGTGTCGACGTTGGGCGAAATACGGCCACTGGCACTGGGCAACATCGTTGGCTGCATGTAGCGCTCACGCCGCGAAGGGCAGGTCCAAGGCGGAGATCAGGTGTCCAGTTGCGCTGAAAGACGCCAGACAGAGAGAGAAAGAACAAAAAGCAAACAAACAAACAAACAAACAAACAAACAAACAAACAAACAAGCAAGCAAGCAAGCATGCAAACAACATACAAGAGCTGCTTCTCATGCCCAAGAGAAGGCAGCCATCTTGAATCAATTCACCCTTGCTAGCAATATACAAATGCAAGGTTGACCTTTTAGGGCTAACTTTCAACATGGATGCTGTATCAATCCTATCTCCATGTGTATATATGGTACAGCGTTGCCAGCCCCCCCCCCCACCAATGGTCATGGGTCAGACAAGTACCCCCCCCCCCTGTTGTGGTCCTGTGGTTGGGTTGTGGTGGTTTAGGGTTGGTTTAGAATTGGTTTAGGGTATATTTCAGGTGTATTTAGGGTTAGTTTAGGGTTGGTTTAGGGTTGGCTTATGTTGATTTAGGGTTGGTTTAGGTTGGTTTAGCTTTAGAGGTGTACGGTTTAGGGTTTAGGGTTTGGTTTAGGGTGTATTTAGGGTTGGTTTAGGGTTGGTTTAGGGTTGGCTTAGGTTTACGGTTTATTGTTTAGGGATTGGTTTAGGGTGTGTTTGGGGTTAGTTTAGGGTTGGTTTAGGGTTAGTTTAGGGTTGGTTTATGTTGATTTAGGGTTGGTTTAGGTTTAGAGGTCTACGGTTTAGGGTTTGGTTCAGGGTGTAATCCGCTCCCCCAATTAATGAATGACCCCAATTAATAATAAATGCAAATCCGGGGCCCGGGACCAGATTTCCACTCCACACAATTGATTTTCCATTGCGCCAATACTAAACCAATACTAACGTCTTGGAATCCTTATTAGGGGGCACTTTTGGCAAGCTTCCAGCCTCACTTTTCAACAGGTGGGTTCCTCAAAAGAAAACATGTCGCCAAAAGCTGTCTTCTAGCTGCGAATCTCTCTCTCCCGTACATGCTGGCTAAATAACCTGTCTGGCTGCAAACAAACAACCAGTAAACTGGTAAACAAATAAAATGATGCATCAAATTTCCTTCTTGAACCGCTTACTCGCGGACCTTACAATTCAATCCATTTCATCCAAATCCTGCGTGAACCCTCACATTGTTGGAAAAGCAAAAAAAACCAACCCCAAAAACCCCAATTAAAAATATATATATATATATATATATATTTTGGTGGATTTATTTATAATAGGGGGGGGGGGGGCCGTATTTATTAATAGGGGGAAGAGATTATTTAGGGTTGGTTTTGGGTTAGTTTAGGGTTGGTTTATGGTTGGTTGCGGGTTGGCTTGTCCTGGGGGTGGGTGCCGGGGTGTCGGGGTGCGAGTTCAGGGGGTCGGGGTGGGGGTGGGACCGTAGGACCCATACCATATGGGGTGGGGGGGTAGCAACACGGAACACGGGACCATATATACGTTATGTATCTCTATAAGTAAATAAATAAATAAATACATAAATAAATAACTAAATAAATAAATAAACAAACAAACAATACATCTATATTAATGTACAAATACATACGTGCGTATGGATATGCATACATGTAGTTGTGCACCTGGGCAATCAGGAGGGAAGCAAGCCGTACTCCGCGCACCTCCACCAGACCAGCGTCTGAGGCGAATGAAGTGACTGGGTAGCGCCTGCGACGGGCAGGAAAGGACCCTGGCCCCATGAGTTGCTGCTGAAGGCATGCAAGCTGGGCCAGACTTAGGCCCCCCGCCAAAGGCTAATCGGTTGATTGTTGAAAGGCAAAATGAAGGAAAGCCAACAGAGTAACGAGTCAAAAAGGCAAGCTAAGTCCGGCAATGCAAAGTACCCCGAAAGGCCTGCAAGAGGGTGCCAAACACAGTAGAACCCTAGTTGCCGATTCCGTTGCTTCCAGCAACAGCTTTTTAACGCAAAGCTCATCAGACAACCACATGGCCCAAACTAAACTCCCTCTGTTTAAAGTCACAAGGTTCTCGGAACACAAGACCTGGCTTCCGATCAGGGCAAACCGTTCTTAGCGCCCTTTCAGGGCATCACGGGGACTCCCTTAAAACGTACTGTTCGCGTTCTTTTTCTCAGAGGGGGGTGGAGCCAGGGCTAGATTCTTTGCCAAAGCTACCCTACCAAGCTCATTGCAGCCGCCGGTTGATAAGAAGTGCCTCGCCGGTGAGCTCGCTGTGCGGCCCCAGGATGTGCACCTATAGCTTTCGGATGAGGAAGCTCGCGGAATGCGGCACTTCAATCGGTAAGCCCAGTCAGAGAACATACGCCAAAATGCGGCCCCAGTGCCCCAGTTGGCATCGTAAGGGTGCCGCTTTTAGTGGGCCAATTCTCCGTGACAGGGTCAGGCTTTGGGCAAAGGCTCGTCTACTCCCAGCCCGAGTTTCTCCTCTCCAGCATCCCAATGTCTCCTTTGAAAGGTAACGGGCGAACACCGAATTTTCCAGCAGATTCATTTGGCAGAAACTGGATTCGAAAGATGCTGTTGCAGGCACCAGTGATGATGAACACATGACGCCCCCAACAGATGTGAGCGTATCCTTTTTTTCGGGTGTCCTTTTTTGGGATTGCTTCAGTGGTTCCCCTGTTTTGCGAATTAATCCGCTTCCTTGCGCTTCTGCAAGATTAAGGGCATCCCGCCATACAGTGCAAAGGGCAACTAGCGTGGCACGCCTACTCATGTCGTTCAAGTCATGCTTTTAGTAGTCCCGCATCCTCCCAAGTTCCCACTTGGGTCATGGTCTCACTGGTTGCGACTGAAATCTAGGTAATGGCTGCCCAATTCCACCAAGGCGTGCTTCGTTCACGCAGGGTTATTTTCTAAATATATATATATATATGTCATATATATATATTATAAACATGTGTATACATGTTCTACATGTTATGCATATCCGAATCCTTGGAGTTGGTCCTCACTTTGGGTGATGGCCAGGGGCCGAAGGCTTCGGCCGAGGCTTCGGCCGCGTTGGGCGCCGCCGCGGCCGCCAGCACCCGGCCGTCCGGGGACCAGCTGAGCGCGGAGGATCCGAAGGCCTCTCGAAGGCGAAAGACGAGGCGGCCGGACCAAAACGAGCTGCATGTCTTACATGGCTGTGGGTCACAATTTTGTACCCAAAGTGAAACCCTGGTAAATGGAAACATGGACTAAAACCTGCGGTCCCCCGGTGGCTTCATTTTGACCCATACCCACATGTTGGACGAAAAACAAACTAGTCTTGAACAAGCTCAGAAAGGAGACACCATTGAAACCGACCGTCCAATTGAACAATGTGACCATGCTTCTCTTTTTTCTGAACTTCCACGTATCCGTTGGAAACGGAACATCCTGAGCAAGCTTGAACATCCTAAAATCAGAGGGCCAAGGCAGCGTTCGGCGCCTCCCCCTGGGCCCAAACCCGCAGCCAGCTGCCGGCTGTGCGCCGCCAAAGCGCCAAGAAGGTGGTCCCCGCCACCTACCGAGTTGCCGCAAGGCACGACGTGGCAAGGCGCGAGGTCGCAGGGCGTGGGTTGGGCGCGCTTGACGGGTAATTGCAGTTGGACCTCTAACTAGACTGGCAGGCAGCCTTGTGTGCTGCGTGTCAAAGCTGGAAACGTTTCAGCGTCAAAGGGGACCAACATGAGATCAACCACTTAACCGTTTGGAGTGCTTCCTAGCTTGATACATGCCCACATAGTCACCATGTTCACATCCTTGGTGTCCTTGGCCTCTTGCGGGCCAAACAGTATCTTGGAACCACTTTTCTGTCGCAGTTCAACCTGCACACTGAATCCCATTTCTCTTCTGCCGACACTTGCGGCAAGATGCGGCAAGAATCACGCAGTTTACCTTCCAAAGCCTCGGAAACCTTCAAACCGGGCTTTTGGCTTTGGGTCCTTCCCCCAGCCAATGCATCTCCCAGTTACTCCTCTTCCCAGAGGGCTTTGTACACTCTTCAAAAACATAGCTGAAAGAAGATGGCCACTCAAACATCTGCAAACTCTCCCATAAATCCAAAAACCTGAAATACGAGATCCAAGTAAAGGGCCGTGAGAGAAAAGTGGGATTCCATTTTTCCCGAAAGCATGGCGAAGGGTTCTTCCGCTGGGTTCACTTGAGTTGTTCTCATGAGAGTCATTACAAGGTGTCATTGCAAGGAATCAGCATCATCAAAGTCATTGCAAGGAGTCATTGCAAGGAGTCATTGCAAGGAGTCATTGCAAGGAATCATCATCATGAAAGTCAGTGCAAGGAGTCATTGCAAGGAGTCATTGCAAGGAGTCATTGCAAGGAGTCATGGCAAGGAGTCATTGCAAGGAGTCATGGCAAGGAGTCATGGCAAGGAGTCATTGCAAGGAGTCATTGCAAGGAGTCATGGCAAGGAGTCATGGCAAGGAGTCATTGCAAGGAGTCATTGCAAGGAGTCATTGCAAGGAGTCATGCAAGGAGTCATTGCAAGGAGTCATTGCAAGGAGTCATTGCAAGGAGTCATTGCAAGGAGTCATTGCAAGGAGTCATTGCAAGGAGTTATTGCAAGGAGTCATTGCAAGGAGTCATTGCAAGGAGTCATTGCAAGGAGTCATTGCAAGGAGTCATTGCAAGGAGTCATGGCAAGGATTGCAACTTGCACTTGACTCCTTGCACTTGCAACTTGCACTTGACTCCATGCACTTGCAACTTGCACCTGGCTCCATGCACTTGCAACTTGCACTTGACTCCATGCACTTGGCTCCTTGCACTTGGCTCCTTGCACTTGGCTCCTTGCGCTTGCAACTTGCACTAACTCCGTGCGCTTGCGACTTGCACTTGACTCCATGCACTTGGCTCCTTGCAACTTGCAATGGCTCTCATGACTCCTTGCAATGACTCCTTGCAATGACTCCTTGCAATGACTCCTTGCAATGACTCCTTGCAATGGCTCCTTGCCATGACTCCTTGCAATGACTCCTTGTAATGACTCCTTGCAATGACTCCTTGAAACAAGCAAGGAGTCAAGTGCAAGTTGCAAGTGCAAGGAGTCAAGTGCAATTGACTTGCGAGGAGTTAAAATCTCTTCTTAGGGCGGTAGTGCCGACGACACTACACGAAAATCGACCCTCTGCGGGGATCGGCGTGGTCGAGGTGCAAAAACCTATGGTTTTTTGCGATTTCTAAAGTTCCCGCGCGACCCTCTGCGGGGATCGGCGTGGTCGAGGTGCAAAAACTCGAGGTTTTTTTTCGATTTCTGCGGTGCTCGCGCAACCCTCTGCGGGGATCGGCGTGGTCGAGGTGCAAAAACTCGAGGTTTTTTTTTTCGATTTCTGCGGTGCTCGCGCAACCCTCTGCGGGGATCGGCGTGGTCGAGGTGCAAAAACTCGAGGTTTTTTGCGATTTCTGCGGTGCTCGCGCAACCCTCTGCGGGGATCGGCGTGGTCTCTGCGGGGATCGGCGTGGTCGAGGTGCAAAAACCCATGGTTTTTTGCGATTTCTGCGGTGCTCGCGCAACCCTCTGCGGGAATCGGCGTGGTCGAGGTGCAAAAACTCAGGTTTTTTGCGACTTTTTGTTGTTCGAACTGGTCCTCGGGAGTTGTCTCGTGGTTCGCGCGCCTGCTCCCGGAACCGGCGGGTCGCGGGTTCGATTCCTCCCTGGTCCGCGGGCGGGCGTCGCAAGATGCAACTTGCATTTTAAAGCAACTTGCGCAGAGCAACTTGCGCAGAGCAAGTTGCACAGAGCAACTTGCGCAGACCAACTTGCACCGACCAGTTTGCGCAGAGCACCTTGCCTAGAGCAACTTGCGCAGAGCAACTTGCGCAGACTCTCAGAGCAACTTGCGCAGAGCAACTTGCACAGAGCAACTTGCACAGAGCACCTTGCCTGGTGCTGTCTCGCGCTTGCTTCACGAATGCTTCGTGTAGGGAAAAAGAACGCATCCTGCAGCGTTGGGCCGACCTCGCTTGCGATGTTCTGCTTTCGGGCCAGCCGTGGTCTAGTTTATAACGACTTTGCTTCTTGAAACGGGATGTGTCACAAGCACCGGATTTGGGCCTTTCACGGGCATTGCAACCCAACCGATGAGGGATTGACTCTTGCTGGGCTGCAAAAAGTCCCAACCTGACAGAAACTGGGCCGAACCACTTCCATACGAATGAATGTCAATGGGGAATCCCCTGAAAAGTTGCTGGTGGACCTAAAATTTCTGCCTAAGTCCACCAAAATTCTTCACAACGAAATGAGCCATACCCCTTTTTTTTCACTGGACTCCTTGACTCCTTGACTCTGAAGTCCTGCTCCGGGGGTCCCGGCTGCCAGGGACCCCTGGAGGTCACAGGGCTGCCAGGCAGCGGCCAAGGGCCGCATCTGACGCTTCGGGGCTGCGGGGCTTCGGGGCTTCGGGGCTTCCGAGGTTCAACTCATTTTGGGCCTTGGAGCCCCCCAAATGGACTTCGGCATATTGTTTCGGATTCTTCGAC